TGGTTTCGCATCTAACTTTTCGAGATTTCAACAGAAGGCAACCTCATGACAACAGAAAGGAATGAATCTCATGTTTGTGAAGAAGAGAATTTCGATGATGAGCAACCTAAATACTAACACAATCTCTCCATTCTTACTTTTAACGTTTTCAAGTTTCCTGGATGAGGAAATGAAGGATAAATCCTCACCGTTTAATAACGCGATAGTTTCAAAAATATATGATCAGTATCGTGCATATGGCTAAAAGACAGAAAAATCAACAAAGAAATATGGATTCTCATAACTGCTTCACCTGTTTCATTTCCATGACCGACCGGGCTATTTGTTCCTCACTTGAGAATGTATTTCACGTAGCCTGAAGTTCACGGATTTCCACGAGGGTATATAAGTCATCGAACATCGGAAATGAGCCAGTTCGCGGTTTCAGTGAGCGGTTGCATTCCATCATCAACCATCACGGTAAGCTCGCTCTGTTGAGAGGCAATAAGCAGCTATACTTTCACAGAATGAACTGAAAAATTTTGTTCGAGATCAATTGATCTTTGTTTTGCTATATACCCGACCATCATATTGAACAGAAGATATGAATCACATGATAACTAGAGATCGGAAGCAACCTAGAGAAGGATGAATACTGAAGTATCAAGAAGCATGCACTTTCAAAAACTCAAAACGGTGATAAAAATTGAAGTTACAAACAGTCGAATAGAGTTCATCCACAAGGTTGAAAGCGGAGACGACATTCAGAGTTCAGATCATTAAGCGTATATGCATGAAAAGATATGGAATAAGGAAATGAAGAATGAATTCTTAATATGTGAACAATAGATGACATAAGATATTATTTGAAAGGCACGTACGTGATTTAGCGTGTACAAAGCGGTGCCCTTTTTCTTTTACATTTCAGAACACTCTCTCGGTTCTTCATGTTCTCTCTCTCGCTGTTGAGCCACATTATACATGGAAGTTCTCCAGAGAGAGAGAGAGAGTGGAGCCAAGTTCATCCAACTTCTGAATCACTGATGGAACCTAGGCAAGCCTAAGTCTAATTATTAGAACATCAAATGGTTGCATTCAATTGTTACATGAGTCTACTCCCACATGGTTTTGCAGTTGTTGTTTTGTATCGAAGTATAGACAACTCAACGAAGGAATGACTGACACTGTGTTAATGTGCGAAATAATATTTATTGTTCTCGTAAGCAATGAAATTCTCCTCTGTCCGAAGTTGGTTTAAAACCGGAACAACACGATTGATTAATTTCTTTCGGATATGGATATAAACAGACATGTGTGTTGCAAACAGATTTTTCAAAAGCTGATCTGTAAAAGAGAGATTGATGATTGAACAGGGTTGCACACTATCAAACCCTGGACATCTACATTCAGCCGAAGGTTTGTTGCATACGCGGAAACGTTGAATGTTTCCACATGAGCCACATGGAGTCGGACAAGTAGACCATTCTTCCCACGTTGCCCATGCCGCTGCATTGCAATCAGTCGCCTAGATATTCAGAAGCATAGCTCATTCCAAACTTTAATGATAAACTCACTGTTGCAGGATTCGGTGTTGTTGTTGAAGCTGTAGTTGCAGCTAAAATATAAATAAAAAATGTAGAAGTTATCAAGAGTTGAGGAGCCATGAGCGTAGGAATGATTATGAAATGAACTACCTGTTGTCATTTGTCCGCAACTGAGGGAAGGAACTAGTACCGATTGATCCGTAATCCATTCAGACTTCTCATTACATGTCAGAGTGAGGTTTATCCTGTCATATGCTTCTGTTATGGGAGTACCGTCCTTATTGAGGATAACAACTGGTTCCGCACTCTTAATCCGGCATATGAGTCACCTTTTCAAATGAATTATTACTCACTTCTGCAGCTGCACATGAGAGAAGTACTTGAATACAAGAGTCGGGCTGGCGTATCGTATCCATTGTGAGCAAGCCACTTCGATATCCAGAAGGAACACCCACGACAAACATCCTATTGCAGTTAGAGCAAGCGACTAAAAGGAAAAAAAGTTTCAGGAAAAAAATTTTTTGTTTCACGTGTTCCAGGAGCTGTCGTTGTAGTGGCTGTAGAGATGGTTGGACTAGTCATCATGGTGGTCAGACCACTTGCTAATCCTGGAAAAATAAACACGTAAAATTGCTCTCAGTAAGTTGTTACTTTTGATTTTACATGCAGCGGTTTTCAATTCAACCCCTAACCGAGAGAATACACCTGAGGACGAGCATGTTAAGCTCCCAGATACATGGTAAGGTGAAGTCATAATCTCGTTTCCGTTGAAGTACAAGGTGAGGTTATCATAAGTCTAAAGAACATGTTATTGTATGACCCAGTGTTAGGACAAACTGACACTAGCTCCTCGGCAACGTATAATGACAACCCGACAGTTAGTTGTGGGATGGAAATAATGATCTAATATGAGTGTTCCAATGTCTTCATCAGGTCCTAGAGAAGGAGGTGCCTCTCCTTCAAGATTAGGACATTGGCTACACATTGCTGAAAGAAATCTTTCGGCTCAATATATTAACTGTATCAAACATTCAGTGACTGTTGAACTCATTAACATAGTCGTAGGGACAGTTGTACTTAGAGTGGTGGTTGTAACTGTCGTCGTAAACACTTAAACAGCCTCATGAGTTTGCTCTATTCTAAACTCTTCATTACTTCTTCTGATACCACAAGCTATGTTGGGAACGACGATTCCTTGTTCATTCGTCCATACAGCCATATCATTGCAAGTCAAGTTCATTGGCATTTTACCTCTTCCTTTCATCAATTCTGTTTTGGACATCACGAAAACAATGTCGTCTGATTCCTACACTTACACCAATTTCTCTTAAATCATTTGTACTACTCAAGCTTACAGTATTCCCTTCACAAGTCAGATAAACAGCATTACAATCTCCTTTCATATAAGAAACAAGGGTTGTGAAACCATCGAAATACATATCATCATCATTGATTCCATCAACAGTTAGTCTCGAACACTTCTGACAGCCGTCTGAACACATGTAAAGTAATAACTCAATGAGAAAAGCTTCCTACTCTCTCCCGGATCCACAACAACTGAAGTCGTTGGCGTGGGGATTGGTGTTGTTGATGTGATAGAGGGATCAGGAGTTACAGAAGAGTCTAAGATAAGGCACAACCATAGTAACATTTGACTTTGAAACTTGATTTGTACCTCTACCTGCAGTTTGTGCTAAGCAACTTGCTGTTTGTACTACTTGACTGTTGTAAATCCATTCGCCCGTTGTATCACAAATCAATTGGAGCTGTACTTCACCTTTCTTTTTGATTTCCTCACTGTTTTGGTCAAAGATCAATGTAGTTTCATCCTCACTCTAAACAAGGGAAAGACATAAGAAGATGATGAAAGCGATTGATTACATTTGTTGGCCTACAAAGTATATCAATAATACGACAAACAGAATTCTCAGAAGTGTAATGGTCTAATACCAGCATCCCATTATAGTAATCTGTCCTTTGAAGTGCGACAGCTGCGAAGTTAGGACAATTCATACATGAGCCTATATAATCATGTGTTAATCATCATATTGAACTTCCGACAAACCTGTTGATGCTGTTGTTGGCGCTGATGTGGTTGTTGCAATTCCTGGAATATATGCAATATATAATTTATTTTATTATTTTATTTCAAAGTGATCTTTTAAAACAAAGTGCTCGTTATAAATGCTACATCAGAGGGTTGGCACGGAAGTTTGGGTTAACGAAGATTTGGATTGATAGGGTAGGGTGCTATGGGATATGATGGATACGAAGGCTCCTGTGGTTGGAGTGGATAAGTAGGGTACATGGGGTTAGGATTAATTGGATACGGGTACGCTGGTGGAGTTGTTCGGGGAGGCTGAACCGGATAACTTGGGTATGGGGCGTTGGTGAGGTATGTTGGAGGGATGGGATAAGGTACATTTGTGGGATGTACTGGGTACGTGTTGTTTGTTGGATATGCGGGACCTACTGGGTACGGAGCATTAGTGGGATATGTTGGTGGAACTGGGTATGGGAGGTTGGTAGGGTATGTTGGAGGAATCGGATAAGGTATGTTTGTGGGGGGTGTTGGGTACGAGTTGTTCGTTGGATATACGGGACCTACTGGATATGGAGCATTAGTGGGATATGTTGGTGGAACTGGGTATGGGGCGTTAGTAGGGTATGTTGGATGGATCGGATAAGGTACGTTTGTGGGAGGTGTTGGGTACGGAGCATTAGTGGGATATGTTAGTGGAATTGGGTATGGGGCGTTAGTAGGGTATGTTGGAGGGATCGGATAAGGTATGTTTGTGGGGGGTGTTGGGTACGAGGTGTTCGTTGGATATACGG